AGAGCAGAGACAGGGAGAGAGAGAGAGAGAAAGGGAGCAGAAATTCGTTGAAGCATTGGTTCATATGTTGTGTGTGCATGTAGCTTTCCGATTGTCCATGATGAGGAAGAAGGTTGACTTTATGGACCCCACTCGGAACCTTTACTCTTAACCACCTGACCTGCTAGGTAGCAGGGTAATTGACGTATATCGCATACCGTTTGTAGCCGGTTGCCACGATGATGATAACACAATGTAACGGTGTCACTGAGAGGGGATCATGCAGTCGACGACCAGGTGAATGTCTCTTGGAGGATAACAAGCATTTGCCATTTTCCAACAGCGTCACCGAGAAGGCGTTGCGTAGTCGACACATGCCAATGGTATAGCGGGCTTAGAGACTGAAGAAAGGTATTGACAGCGAAGTCTATCGGGACCATGAGAAGAAGGCAAGGCATCAGCAGTACGCCGGTACGCACTACCGACGCTTCGTTGCAGCGCAACCACCACAGGTCGCTCGCGGGCTAAGGATACTGCGTGGATCACCCTTCCCCTACACAGGCTCAAACGCGCGCCGTCAGGTTATAAGACAAGCTTGTTACCTTTATGCTCCGGACCGGCTCGGGACCTAGAGATTTTCACGACAGTTGTCTTTTTCTTCTTCTTCCTGCCCCTGTTATTGTGATTATGATATTTGTTACTGTTCTGATGATGTAGTTCATGGCAGTTAGATGTGTAACACTACAGGGCTGAACTGAATATCTGGACCAATGCTACCTTTCCTCTTGGGGGATCTGTAGTGTAGTTATTCCGCTATCTGACTTACAATCTCTGTGTATCGGTGCATCGAACTGTCAAAATCTCGACTGAAACCGATTTTGCACTCCTCTAACCTTATTGACCTGGCGCATTTAACGAGCCATGGTTAGAGAAGGTTTACAACATCGATACACAGGTCCATTCTATGTAGCATATTTTCACGCCACTGATCGTTGACACATTCCCGCTCCTCGGCTTTGTGTACCCGTTCCCATCCAGATTCGAGCACTGTGACAATCCCCATCCGTCATTTTGCACCCGTTGGTGGTTACATTGTAGCTCTGCATCCGCATTGCTGATATCTGTCCTCACTTCTTGCAACTCCTGAGGCGCATACCTCCACTTTCGTGCTTGCTACCGCCCATTGTGCCATTCGCCAAAGGACCACACTCGTCCTGGTGAAATCCAGTCTCATTCTGGGGACACTGTTCGGTCGCACACCATAGTAGTGGAAAAAACACCTTCCAGCAATTCACGCCTAGTCACTTTCGCCTGCATTTTCTACGCTGTAATTTGTCCAACGCATTGAAAAGTAAACGGAGAATACACTCGCCCAATAAATGGTACTGTCTGACCGTTCCCGCATTGCATACTTAACACAGTCTGCTCCAAACGGCACTGTAGTGCACACCACGACTGGTTTCCTGTTTATGTGCCCTCTACAAATAATGGTCAAACTGGGAGTCGGACTCGAGATTGCGTTCCGAATTCCCCTCCGTTTGTCTTACGCAGTTATTTCGCCTGTCTTTGTCTGAGAAATTCAGACAAGCTGGAGATTAGTCATGGAGTGGCGCGTCTTATGCTCACCAAGATTTGTAGTATCTCTGTCTAATTCACAACTGCGTCGCTTAATTTGTTGCACACGGAATTCAGAGGAACATCAATCCTTGTAATATTGTCAATCCAGCCGAGATCGAGTAAGTTCAGTTCTGGGTGCCTTGTTACGGAACAAACTCCTTTGAACCTACAGTCTTTGAACATTACAGGGTCATGAATTTCACCGGCCAAGTTCAGCGGTCCTACTGAAGCGCTGGTTTCAATCGGAGTTAATCTTTGAACAGGAGGTTCACCGATTTCTTTCCGGGTTTTCTCGGACATGACTGTAATATCTGAGGCAGTGTGTACTTGAAGAGCTACAGGCACTTACTTCACAACCACCGTCATGAATTTTCTGCGCTCTTCGGCCCCTGCATCGAAGGTATCAAAAACACCTAGAGCTGATGTCTTTGCTTTGTGAGAGATGTGAGCACAAGTTTTTTTGGAATATTTCTTGGAGACGTTATTGTTGAAAGCAGCTGCAGAGCAGTGATCCTCCTTGTGACCCCGTGCCTTCCATTTCTATCAAACGCATCATGAGAGAACTGAGAACTGAGAACTGGTGCGAAGCAGCGAGTAGAGCTTGCTCTGTGTGGCTGCATCATTCGTCGTCTTCGGACATGAACTTTTTATTTATCGTTTCGCTCTCTGTACTTTGCCTCTGCAAATTGTTGGTCTAGTAGCATCTTGAATTTAGACACGCTGTTCGCTTCTACTATATGCTGAGGCAGGTTATTCCAGACATTCACCACTCTGCGTTCGAAACAGAGTTGATGGGCGACCTGCTTCAAATCCGGGACGATAAGTTTATACTACGTGCAGACCACTCGGCCACCGCCGACGAAGTGCCATTCCCAACATTTCCAACATGCGGATGTTGGTCTGTTTGACTTCACTAAGCATTGGACCGTCTCTGGACTTCCGCATTGGTTTGACACCGCCAGCACAGTACTGGTAATCGGGTACGTTTCGTGATTCAAGTTGGCTAGCCTCTGGTATTCGAAGGTGACGGACCTGAGGTTGTCGGATGGGCCCTATTCAATTTTGCTAAGCAGCCTCATGTGTATTTCCGCATCCCCTGGCGCATAGAAACCACAAGCAAAAATGAGGGCCTTGAACTATCCTCCGTCCTTTTTGACTTTGAAACGCTCGCCGTGACGGCTGACAGTACTCGCATAAATTACAAAATTGTCTGATGCACACTTAACGGACTTCACGTAGCTGTATCGGACGCTGAATAAGGAAGACTTCGATAATAATGTCAGTTTATATAGACAGAAGTCGATGGAAGTCCTTCAATTGTGGAAGGATTTCTTCAAGTTGTTTCTGCTGATCTTGAAATTTTTTTGGGGAGCCCCACCACTGGAAACAGCATATTTGTGTAGTTCAACCAAACATTTCCCGTCGCCATTTGTTGTTATCACGAAATTCGCGTAGGGTCGCTCTGACTAGCTGTTCGAGAAAATCCTATCCACTCCGAGTGGCCAATCGAACGTGAAGGTTGCGAGTATGGTTTACTGGTTGCCAGATAAGAGGAAATTACATTATGCAGACTCCTGTTATTTATGTGTTCTCGCCGACCTTATTAAACCTTTGCTTTTCTGTTCTATTCTTTAATTATCAACAGTGCTATAATATTGCCCAGAACATTCTTTTTATCAACCAGTACGATTGCCCTACTTGGTTTCTTGAAAAAAGATTGGAATTTGTTTCGGAGGTTTCACTGATCTGTTCCTTAGGAGATACTGCCCCTAACAGTGCGTTGGTTTCAGTGACCGAACTAATCAAGATTTCATTCAGAGTGTGGACGTTATGATCGTAAGCGGTGGATCAGGTAACATCGGTTCCTGATCGGCGTGCTGTTATATTTTCAGTACACTCGATACCGATCAACTAATGCGTATTGGCAAAATGAAAACAAATCATCATCCTTATACACGTTAGCTGCAGGTAGAAAACACAGCTGTTGTGCCTCAATACAAAAGACAAGAAAAAGAGCGAGAGTGGCACGCCGGCTGAGTCCCCAGTAACGGATGGACATCGTTCCGGAGAGCTAACAGCAGGCTATCGTGCCGCAAAAGGAGACGAATGAGATCGTGATTGGAGGGGAATATTAAGCAGAAGGGGGTGGGCAAAGGAACGCACAATAAAAACGCCATGGGGGCCGGTTCTTAGCCATCTCAGCAAGTGTGTCCAAACAAACTCACAGCATGAACGCCACTGACGTCGGCTCCTAGTCATGTCAGCAAGTGTATCTAGCCAAACGTGTTAATCGTCTTTTAGAGCCCAAGCAAGGAGCTGTGAGGCTCCAATCAAGGCCAGCTCCGAAGTGAGGGCCTTCATTCCTCTGGACTAAGTCATCGCTTGGCCACCCCTCCTCTTCTTTATCCACCTCCCCTGTGAGCAAACAATGCACGTCGTGGAAGTCGGTGGGCTGGCATGCGCAACACGTGGCCCAGCCATCGGAGCCTGGTGCGTGAAATGATGGTGCTGAGCGGTTCAGTCCCTTTTTCTGTGTCATAAACAAGGCGTCGAACACGCTCGTTACTCACGCGGTGTTCCAACCAGATGTGAACCAAACTACGAAGGCACCGATGGTCGAACGTAACTAGCCTCTTCATGTCCGCCGATCTTAGGGGCCAGGTTTCGCAAGCGTACAGTAAGGTCGAACATACCGCTGCATTGTACACTCTACCCTTCAGGGCGAGAGTGATGTCGGGCCGCCGCCTTAGGTGGGGAAGGTTAGCAAAAGCACTTGGACCTTCTGCTATACGGTTCCTGATCTCATTCTCAATATCAAGGGCGCTAATACAAGTTCTCAGGTAGTTGAATTTCTGAACGAATTTTAGCTGATCCCCCTTCCCCCCCCCCCCAAGGGTGAGCGCAGTAGGCGATCCCTGCCAATCTTGGAGGAACGCTTTGCATTTCGATGGTGCAAAGGAAAGCTCGAAGCGGCTGACAGCCAGCCGCTGACAGCCGGGCGGAATAACCTGTACAAGATAAACCGTTTGTTGACCATGCTTCTCAGTCGGTCTTCGTATCAGTTGCCCTAACATAAATTGTATGGGTGACAAGACTCGTAGACGGATGTGAAACAATTCTCCTTACATCTCGAACAGCTGCAATAATGAAAGAGTAACGTCGGGGAGCCCCGGTGAGGCTCCTCTACGCTACTGCAAGCCGCTCAACTACGCACTGATGATGTCAACTCGATTGGTGGCGAAACGTTTGCAACAAAATTGCCAAGCTCAGCCAACAGTTCGACCGCCATACAATTGTTAAGTTTTGTGGATTGTAATTCATACAAACTGTTGCCTTAATTCAATGCTCCTCCTCTCGTATGCGGCCATACTTTCCCTAACATCCTTCGTGCCTCATTATCACAGGGAGACTTTATAATCTCTGGGGCTTTGAAGCTGCAAGATGATCAGACCGCCTTACCCTCGTCCGTACTGCAAGCCAAACGTCCCGTCCGATACGCGGATGAGAGCAGCGCCAACGCCAGGCTACTCGAGGCGCTAGCAGCTGAGGCAGCCGCGGTACAAAGTGATTCGAACAGTCTCGTCCCTCTGCGCCGCAGTATCCAACAACAGGAGACTACCCAAGGCATCGACACTGCGGTGACTGTATCCACAATCGAGGATGAGGAGGAGGAGGCTGAGGCGAAAGAAATTGCCGATTCGTACGCCGCGAACGCCAGAGTGATTGAACAAGAGATGATCCGTCGTGGTATCATCAAACGCCGCTTGGTTGATGAGGTAAAAGTATCTCACTTGTTTTATTCTTAAATAAATAACTTGTTTATTCTCGACATTGCGAGGCACGCCACCACAGGCATGATTATGATAATACAGACACAGATGATTAACAATTGGCCAAAAATGTTCCAACTTAGGCATTTACAAGCAATATATATATATGTTACATTTTTGATGCTCCTTCACCGCAGTCGGGTTAAACTAACTTATACTTAAACTAGGTCTTTTTAAGCTGGATAAATTCCATTCCACTTTATTTGGTTTGTTCTGCTTACCTGAATTATCTATTAAGTGGCCACGTTGCTTACGCTAATTGCGCTTATCTTCGGTAACTTTCTTGCGTTTGTAACATTTCTAAGTAACTTGTGGACATTTTTTTACTGAAACTGAGACTGTATTTAAGAGCAAATAGAAAGGTTTCTGTACAACTATCGAATTACAAGGAATCAAAAACATTTATTTGTGAATCATCAGCAGTTGTTTCTGGTCCGTTAATTGTTTATCCTTGTTCGGTTAGGAATTTGTCTTGGTGTCATTATTTCCGGGCATACGATGTCTTCTTTTGGCATTGTATGTGCATCGTTTCACAAAAGCACAGGTTTCCGAAATAATCGTCCATACGGGCTTTAAAACACTTCACAGAATCGGCATCTATTAATCCTTCTGGTAGTGTATTCCATAAGTTTACGCTTCTTCGTTCGATACAAAGCTGATGTGATACTTTGTTCATGCTGGGGACCCTGAGTTTGTAACGATGTCCTCGGGTGTTACAGGGTTCTCGCAGGTGAAATATTGGCCGCAGTGTGGGGAAGTGACTCAAGTGTAGTACTCGATGAGTCATAATAAGATCAATTCTTACTCGGCGATAGGATAGTATGTAGAGTCCGAGCTTTTCACAAAGCTTTTCATATGGAAGCTTTCGTAGACTTGGTATCATTCTAGTTGCGAAATGCTGTATTTTCTCCAGTTTTTCAGTTTCCCACTGGGTTATCGGATGGTAAGCTGGGGCACCGTATTCAAGGATTGGTTTAATGAACGAGGTGAATAGACGAGGGACGGTTTCTTCGGACCATGTGGAGAAACTGCGTCGTAATGCCCAGAGCATACGAAGTCCCGCATGGTACAATTTCTTTGGATATTCTAGTGATCTCATATCATGTCGTGAGAGAACTTCTAAGTCTCTGACAGATGTGTTGGGATGGAGCAACTGGCCTTCCCAGGTGTATGATCGAGTGGCTGGACGTCTGATGATACTGATGAACTCCGACTTGGTTGCGTTAAGAGTGCGTTGCATTTCAGTGGACCACGTTGACAGCCGCTCTAAGTCATGCTGGAGGCGAACGCGGTCGTCCTGGTTCTCAATAATCCTCCAGATTTTCAAATCACCTGCAAACAGGGCACGTGCTGAGTGGAGCTGCTGCGGAAGATCGTTGATATGAATAAGAAATAATACTGGCCCAAGTACAGTTCCTTGAGGCACGCCACTGGTCGATGTGAACCTGTCTGTCAGGTAGTCATTGACCTGTACTCTAAACTTTCGTCCCACAATAAACTCGTCTAACCACTGAGGTAACATGCTATTGATTCCATATGTCCTCAGTGTACGTAGGATTGCCTTGTGGTTCACTCTGTCAAACACCTTACTAAGTTGATGTGCAACACGTCAACATCCTTCCGTTCGTTGAAAGCTCGTACCCGCTGGTGGTTTGCGTACATCAGGTTGGTGATGCAGACTCGCCCTTTCGTAAAGCCGTGTTGCGCTGGCGTCAATACGTCCATCGATTCGAAGAACGACAGCAGTCACTTTTTCACAATCTTCTCTAGAACTTTGGATAATACCGAAGTCAAACAGATCGGTCTATAGTTCTCTGTTTTCCTCTGATCACCACCCTTGGGAAGCGGTTTAACTATCGAGCATTTCCAGTCGTTGGGGACAGATCCTTCAGAGAGCGATTTATTGAATAGGTTTGTCACGGCTGGTGAGATGATAATCGATAGGGACTTGAGTATTAGTTGGTGAAGTCCATCTGTTCCGGGGGGCTTTGCACCATCGAGTTTGACCAGTTGCTGATACACTTCGACTGCATCACATTGTAGTCTATGGAGCAAGATTTGCGCAACCTGTGCCGGTACTGAAACCGCCGCCGGTTTACGGGAAAATACAGTGAGGAAATGCGTAGTCAAGGCGTCTGCGCGCTTCGCGCTTGAAATGAGCGTCTTCCCGTCTAAGCTCTCTAAGACCGGTAGGTCGTCCTCGGATTTCAGTTGACGTTTCAAGTAGGCAAATATTCTTTTGGGTGCAGTTGTGCTCTAGGATACTAGCTCCTCTTCGAACTGCCGGCGTTCCTTGATCTTTGCGGTTACATAAGTTACGCCGTTTCTTGTACACCGTCTACTCTTCATCACAACCCGAGCTGATGTACCTATCCCAAAGTTTGCGACGCCGTCGCGCTAACTGTCTATATTCCGTATCAAACCAATGCGGTTTGACAGGTCCGATTTTGGAATATTTAAAGGGAACGAACCGAGTACAGAGCGAGTTAAGCTTCCACTTCATTAATGACCAACAGGCCTCAAGTGCCGCATCTCGTGGTTGTGTCCAATAAGTCTGATTTGCGGCTTGGACGAGCCCGTTGAAGTCCGTCTTTCAATAGTTGAATGTCGGCTTCCGTTGATTGTAATATGGTAAGGACAGTTCCAAGCTTGCCACAATGGAGCAGTGGTCACTGTACGCCAGAGTTTTGATAACTTATCGCGGATTCGTTGCTAACCACTTTACTTCATATGCTAATTTAGCGAAGGGTTATACCACCGTATCTGTGCACATTCTTCGATTTATTTTATTTTATCTTGTCGCTTCAATTGATTGGCTGTTGCTTGATATCCCGGTGTGGCTGCGCTTGATGTGCATGTTAACAAGGTGGCTACCTGTCTATTACTCACTACCTCGTTAATACTGGCTCCAGGAGACAGTTGGTCGTTGCTGAAGGGCACGAGGTGCACGGTTCTTGTGGCCGTGTTTGGATCAAAGAGTGGTTCCATGCACTCAGTGTGGAGCGGATTACGGTCCAGCCACCACCTTGTTTGCACTTGATTCCCAAATACAGTGTGCATGTGTTTGCCTGTGAATGAGTGTGGGCTGGCTCCGTTGATTGAAATTGGCTCCCATCTACATGCCTCCCGGTCTTAGTCCTTCGGGTTTACACTGGATATGTGGTGTGTGGTTGGAGCTGTGGGTGGTGCAGCGCAAGCCACCCATTGTCTCTCTGTAGGCGCAGGCGTCCTGTGGCTGGCCACAATGACAAGCAAATTGGTAACCGGATGCCGCCAACCATGTTTAAATAGAGCCGCATGCTGAAGTTGATGTTGCATCCATCATTCTTCTTCAACGCAGCTGCGTTACACCGACTTACACTTTTGCTAGCTCTACGTAACCTGGATAAAAGGTATTCCTCTTTAGTTGATTTGAACCGTGATGTTAATCTGCTACATATTCCATGTCAACTTCTCGTGTTTAATTTCCTTCAGATGCTATGATAGGTGTTTGCTATACACGGTGTGGCTACGTTTGAGGTGAATGTTGACAAAATGCCTATCTGTCCAACACCCTCCACCTCGTCCATACTGGCTCCAGGCGACAGCTGGTCATTGCTTGAGGTGGCGGGATGCACGGTTCTCGTGACAGTGCTAAGCTCAAGGTGTGGTTCTATGCATCCACTTTTTAACGGTCTACGGCCCAGCCACCGCCTTGTGTCCGTCTAGTACGCGCTATTCGCGAATTAGATAGACAGTAGTGCTGCTTCTGGGCATATTGAAGGTGTGCGGACCGGCCGGTTCGGTTGGCGAAATGTGACTCACTTCCAAATGTCTCGCGCTCTTATTCCTTCGGGCTTACACTAGATATGGGGTGTGTGGACGGAGCTGAGTGATGTAGCGCAAGCTACCCATCGTCCCCCTGTAGGCGTAGGCGTCCTGTGGCTGTCCTCATGGCGTCCGTACTGACAGGCAAATGCTAAACCGGATGCGGCCAGCCATGTGTTTTACAGTCAAATTGGTCGAATTTGTTTATATGATTCTGCAGTTGTGCTTGTCCTGATTCGGTCGCCACTGCAAGAAGAGACTCTTTGAGGTGGATAACGGACTTCCGTGGTTGGCGCAAGTTCATCCTGGTTGACAAGTGGCAGTGACTTTATTTAGTGGCGAGTCACATCCGCCATGTCGCAGTGTAGTTAAGCAGACGTCTGTGGTTTTTATAGGGAGAACGCTTGCCAAGCGGAAATCCACCACATCCTGAAGCACTGCAACCGAAACATTAACCGGAACGAGATTAGCCCGAATTATCTGGCCGGCACATCGAAAGGATTGTTCGACGATTTTGTTGTGCTCTATGTGTCTTTTTCTGCGATTTATACACTTATTATGAAATATTTTTCATTACATGAATTTGACAGGAGCGCCGAATTAGCACACGTATCACCTGTAGTCACTATCTTTCAGATGTGTATTGTCTCCTCGATTCCTTTGGGCCATCGTTTGCATTCGTAGAATACGCAACTCCCATGCCCCCACATCGTTGGATTTTCCCTTGAAAAGTAGAGGGGCCTCAACCCCCGTGAGTCCTGTTCGTCATTCTCCGGTCTTCATAGGTCATGAGCGTTGTCGTCTACTTAAAATCTGTTCTCTGCTATTTGGAGTTCACAGATTCTGTCACACGTTTCCCGAAAGTATTCTTGTCATTGCTGCAAAATCAGAGCAGGTCTGGGACCGAAACGCTCTACTTTTGGAGAAGTGCTGCTTCACAATGTAAACCGATACTCCCAGTACACTCAGCGTGGGTTGTAGCACTGAATGGCTTCCGTTTCGATTTATATGTACGATGACGTACTCAGATTCAATCTGAACCAAAGTCACAACTGAGCGGAGTTGCTTTGTTTTGTTAGATGAGGCGGTGTTGACAATCTCAACAGTACGAATGCAGTGCAGTATAAATGCTGTTTGAAAGACGATTTTGCCAAACGGAACGATGACGTTACATGATTCGATTGCAGAATGTATCCTAGTGTTGTATTGATCTAACGCGTCCTATTTGATTCGACTCTTAATCGGAACGGACTAACGTTCTTCGCAGATAGTACCCCACGCTTGCAGAGTATCTAATCGAATTCTTAACGTTGCGGCCTAACGAGACCTAGCCGTCAGACCCACATGCGACGTGAGACTGGAGACGCGTATGCGTAACCTAGCCCGACTGCACTCAAACCTGAACGAGAAAGAAGGACTGGCTGTTAACGAGAGTTCTTTAACTGATTCAGCCAAGGTTATCCTCCAACACTGGGATAAATTGTCTGGTGATGTTGTCGGTTTGGTCCGTCAGCATTGCCGGAGATTTGCCATGTTGTAGATGGTTCGAACTGGCTGATTGTCCAAGCCCAGGTGTTCGAACCAGTATAGACCAAGGAGATTGAGCATCAACCCACGTGATGTAGCAGGTATGACCCTTTTCGGCTGTGGTCATCCTATGTGTCCTGCTGTTTTGATACCACGAAACTTAAGGTGTACTGATCCATACAGTTTTCCACGTCTATATTTTGGTTCCAACCTGAAGGTAGATATCTGTAGTCGACAATTTAACCAACTTTGGACCAGATTCCAGCAAATCCCAGTGAGCAAATAACACCAATGTATTATTGCCTGACTCAAAACCGTCTGGCTCATCTATTAACACTGGTTGCATTGCAGCATTGTACATTCCGCCATTGATGCGCACATTCATAGTAACCCATTTTCTGCTGGCGTCCTTTCGGAAGTACATCTGCAATATGATTTAAGCATTGATTAAGTTAGGGCAAATTTGGATTGACCAAAATGCTTTCAGCTTAACAAGGGCTAATGTCCGTTATGAAAGTCCAATCAAAAATAGTAACGTTATTTTAAGGCGGTACTTTAAACCATATATTGGGTTATACTCAGGAAGTGGAAGTCGTGGTTCTAGGGGCCAATCCTATCCTCTGCAGCGTTCGAAACTTGCTTGAGAGACGTCTTGCGAGATATCACAGTTCGGTTGTGTTAATTCTGCGCTTTGCCGTCTTCGTGGCTGATACGTATTGTAGTGGCGCAGAAGCAGATACTACTACATCGAGTGTCAGTAGCACGTATATACCAAGAAGCCACGGGTAATAGGCCAATAACGACCATACCAACGCGCCAACGGAAGTAGTACGCCTAAGATCCGTAGATATATGTGCGGTAGGAATAGATGC